GTAAAAAAAAAAAAAAAAAAAAAAGTAACGGCATTTGAAAATGTTATGAAATTTAGTCCGTTAGGCTTGTTTGAGGATTATTAATTGATGGTAAATTAAATGAAGGGGAAAGGCGGTGAGGGAGCCGTTGGAAAGGAGGTTTAAATTGAATTCAAACGAGGTGTTATTTAGTTAATTGAGAAAATAAGAAGAAGAAAAAAAAGAAAATAGGATAAGAATAATTTAAAAGAGAGTACGGTTGGGGAAGTTGGACGGGAGCGGAGGTGTTTGACCAGAACAGCCTGGACAGCATTTGGAAATAATTATTTTACGTGAATTATATACCAACACACAAACATATTTCTATATAATTATATTTTAAAACAAAAAAAAAAAAAGATATTTACAAATCGCAATGAGTTGCTGAGCTGGCCATAGAACGACAAAAACTTCACTAGCAGAATCGCAGGAAGAACGCCTTTGCTTTACTATCATGTCAGTCCAGCCTGTAAACTCTGCCCACAAACCAATTATATAATACCACGTGGAACTTGCCACCATACTTTATAAAACTTCCAAACCCCCCTCCACCGCCTTTCCCGTTTTCACGTAACTTCTATTTCTTTTCTTTTCCTTTTTTGTCTTAAAATTAGCTTATATTATATATATTAAAATCATAATATATGAAATCATTTTGGGGTGGGGGAATAATATATTTTGGGATAGAGAGGCGAGGCCAATGAATTAAATTAATATAAACCAAACCTGTTTCCAAAATAAATAAAATCATATTTCCTAATGGATTGAGTCCAAATCCGTCCCTATCAACAATGGAATTCCCGCAATAATAAAGAAAAAATATCACAACCATTACTATGACAGCTATACACACGCTGATCTTCCAAACTAAATACTATGAAAAGAATCCCCCTTGTCTTCTTATGAAAAATAGACATTCAAATTTTAAAATATAATCATTTAGGCGCCTTCTTTCAAAAAAAATAAAATAAAGATTTTAATTTGTAGTTTTTCATTTTCAAAACACATTTACTTTTTTTTATTTTCCGCCTACCTTTTCAACTCACACCTACAAATGTTACAACAATTTCAAATAAAGATGAAAATACCTTTTGAAAACCACTTTATTAATAATTAAATCTTTTCAACTATATTTAAAATAAATAATCCTTCCAAATAAGGTAACCAAGAAGCCGTTGAAACCAAGGTTATTGCCCATAAACACCCTTCGTTCTCACCAGGATTCCCGCTTACAGTCCAAACCTCCAACCACAAAGGCTGAGAGACCAACTAATAAGCCCAATGGGCTCGGAACCAAAATAGCCCCCTAAACTCGGCTATATTCAATTGACTAGGATATTAAATTAAATAACAAAAATATCATAATTTTGGCATTATTCTGATTCATCAACATCTAAGTTTCAACTATATTAACATGCTACATAATTTGGAAATTGATTACACAAAAATTTGAATTTTATATGTAATTGGTTGAAAGTGGCATTAAATACAAAACTGAAAACACAATAATTCTTTTATAGTTTGACCTATAAATATACACAAAATTGCAATCATGTAACCGACTCGGCTGCTCGGGTCTGGGTTAGCGTAATCCCCTCCCTTCTATTCTATTAAAATCTATAATGCAAAATGTAGAGTGTTTATTGGGTATCTCGAGCCTTTCAAATTTAGTCCATTTCACGTTTTTTTATTTATTAATAATTAAATTATACTCAAGTTGATACTATTTAAATAATGGCCGGGCCAAAATCTTTACATCCGCCTTTGTGTATTTTATTTCCTTTTTGAGTTGAAATTCCCACTCCAATTATTCAAGCCAAACAAAATTGGAACATTTTGTCCCCTCAATCTTCTGTCTTTCTGTTCTTTATTTCTTTTCTATTTTCTACTCTCTTTGTGTCACTAAACACTATTCTTCTTTTTCTTTTACCTGCATTGACTCAAATTATAAAAAGATTCAATAAAATAATATAATGTATAGTCCCGTTGATCGCGGGTGAGAAATTGCAGAAAAATGAAAACATAATTTGAAGAGATTTAAAGAAGGAGCAGTGTTGGACTAAAGTGAAAGCTTACTGAATTTCATCATGCCCTTTCGTCTAAAGTGTTAGAAAAGCACATGCAAACGCCTCCTCCTCGTGGCTGTCTTGTTGTTTACTGTCATCAACTCAACTCCCAACAAAAAAGAAAAGATGAACACCTTCAGAAACACGCAGTGGATTCAGAATTAAGCCTAAAACATTTACTAATCAAATTCCCTTCTTCAAAAAGACAGCGTAACTTTTGAGTATTTTTAGAGAAGCAGAGCAACACGGGACCATGCTGTCCAAATGGTCGGTCTGATTTAAGAAGAGAAACTGGGAAGGGGGAGGTGGGTGAGAAACCAGAGTTTTGAATGGTCCCAACCCATTCGACGCAAATTTTCAAACATCTGATTGTCCTTAAATAAAATATTCAGGTCAAACCAAAAATCATTTCCTCCAAATCTCAATGCCGAAGTGGCCGACAAAATCTACTTCCTCTTCCCACTGTTCACATGCAAACAAAAATCAACTCTTTTTTTTTTTTTTTTTTTTTTTTCCTTCTT